GAAAAAATATTGCTATGCCTTTTATTTAATAGCTAATGAGGTATATCATATCATATGATGATTTTTTCACACAACACATAACATAACATCACGCCTTTTATCGCCGAAGGGGTAGTAAGAGGTGCGCATTACGGCTCTTAATGCCACTACAATGTAACACCCACTTTTCACTATTTATGTTATGAGTCCCATGTAATAGGGGGTCAGCCTATTGCCATATATTAATTTCAATTGAACCGAAAAAAATTTTTTGGAAGTCAAATATACAAAAATGTTTTTTTTTTGTCGGTCGGTAAGTTATTTGCTGGTATCGGAGTATAGACTGTTATGTTGAAACTTTAACTTTATGGTTATTCATTTCACACAATTAACTATTGACCAAGAAACACTACTTATCACATTATCAAAGTAAAGGTTATTGATATGATTATAAAGAATACACCAAGTCATTAGCAGCTACCATCGCATGTCTCTGTACAAAGATAATAATCTATAATTTGTTCTGGTTATTCTTTCAGATTAATTATATTTTTTATTGCAATTTTCCTTCATATTATACTTAGGTACTTACTTACTTTTTTTCTTTTTGCCGTCTTCAATACTACCTATGCACGGATCACGGATTCGTAAATGGACGTAGGTCACGTGATTCGAAAGTTTTTGTTGACAGTTGTCACGTGACTTTTTGTAAACAAAACGATGACGTCATACGTGTTGTCAATGATTGCGTTAAAAGAAAAATTACGCTTTATAAATATGTAGGTATTTTAAGTGGCTGTAAATAAAAAGAGGTTTCGTGTTTATTTTCGTTTTACGTTTTATTTTTCGATAGGTAACCGTTACGAAATTCGGTATCAATGACATTTATTCAAATTGTTACGCATTATAAATTAGGTATGCGTTTAAAAAACGGTGCTTAATTTTAAATAAACTTCTTTTTTCTATATCTAGATACATATTGGTCTAAAAACTAGTCTTAAAAGCCTTATAAACTAATAAATTGTAAGAAAAAACGACATTTATCAACAAATTAATAATGCAAAAATGCGACTTAAGCCTTCGAATAACGGTTTAAATCAGTTCAAAAACCTTATGATAATAAAAATCAAAGTTATCCGATAATTTTGTATAAAATAAAAACGAGTTATTAGTTCAGCGACCTTATGATCGAATGATAATTTAAAAGATTTGTGAAATTATCCGCTCAGTGTTTCTTAAGAAGTAGTCGTGGTATCACCTGTTCAGTTCTGTGCAACGGTATGTGGTTATATGATTTTTAACTTTATTTTGTGGTACATAAAACGCATTATTGATTTTGAGTTGTAGTTGTAACATACAACGTTTTGTATTTAAAAGTCACGTTGAATTTTTGAATATTCGTTTTTTAAAATAAATGTTTTATTTATTTTTAAATGTAGTACCTATTTCATTTTATTTTTTTTTTGGAAAACAGACCATACGTAAATTGTTATAAGGTTCAATTTAAAGTTAAAAATCTATGTTCTTTTTTCGAGATTTACTGTGTCCTCAAAAGTAAATGCATTTTTATACAAATAGTTTAATGTTCGTAATATTCTGTATTTAGATATTTTGTTACCGCACAATGATGTATTAGCATATTCTAGACAATTTATACTGGTATTATTGTTTGTTAACCTCGTTTACTAAACTAAATACATATTTTAAATGTGCATATTATAATTGAATACTATAACTGACACTCGTATAAGTATACTAGGTTTTACCCGCGACTTCGTCCGCGTAAAATATGTATTTTAGGACAATATGCCTTTTTTTGTTTTAATTTTCCAAAATTAATTAGCCTATGTTACCCTTTAGTGCATCAGCATCAGCCAATAAAAGCCCCTTTAAAATAGGTCCAGCCGTTCCAAAGATTAGCTAGTACAAACAGACAGACATACAAAAAAATGTTATTTTGGTATGTGTATCGTATGTATATTCATATGCATGTAGTAAAAAGCGGTTATTTTAATATTAGAAACAAACACTCCAATTTTATCTATCTGTTTAGATAATCCTCTAAATAATTAAATGCCTACATTTTGTTTATGATTTGAGGGAAATGTGGATAAAATTAATTGTAGGTACATGTAGATTACACTGGCATTACTTTAATTTGTAACTTTATGTATTTGGGCATAAAGTTTATTTTCCATTGACATTCATATCCGAATTTATTTTTATTTATTACTGACATAAATATTGCAATTCTGTATTTGAATATTTGAATGAAATTCGGTGCTTATTATGCTATCGATAGCAACAAAGTTATATAAACCATTTTTGTGACGTGTGAGAGCGGTATTTGCGTTGCTGATCATAATTATAGAAAATTGTTTAACTGTGTCATCACTTTAGTCCTGAAATTTATTTATAGCGATATTTATATAGTTTTGGCATCCAAAATATTGCCTTATCACAAACCGAGTAACAAACAAAAGTCTGTTAAACCATTTGTACATCGGTTTACGTAATAAGAGACGCCAACATTTTTGATTTTCACCTATGTGATGTAAAAAGTAGAATACCAATTCCCCCTTCTTAATCTCACCAAAGTCAAAGTCAAAATCGTTTGAATTTGGATGACAAAAAGAATTAAAAGTGAAGCTATTTGCTCATTCCAAGGTGTAGATTCCGATGGAGAAGAACTAGCAAGAAACTCCATAGGTTATTCTTTTTCAATCAGGTTGACTGTACAATTATCTACTTACATAGTTTTATTGGTTCGATTGTGCGAGAACAATGTAACACCAAAAATCCAGTCAAAGAGATCGACCCAATCCTCGAATCCCCAAAAATCCTCACATTCCTAATTCCCAAAAGGCCGGTAACGCACTTGTGACACCTCTGGTGTGTCGGGTGTCCATGGGCGGCGCCGATTGCTAATCAATCTTACCATCGGGTGACCCGTCTGCTCGTATACCGGATTATACCATAAAAAACCTCCTTGACCCACTACCTAGGTACACCATCTTCAATATCACAGTCGTTACCTAATTATCACTTGTAGTCTGTAATTCTTTAATAATAGATCTATGTCCTAAGATACAAGATACGGCATAATGATACGAGTACACTAACTACTAAGTATGTTAGTAATTTTGTATGATGATTACTTGATAATGTACTGTGTACTGTGATCCTATGACCTTTATGTAGGCTAACATAATATAATTTTCTTAGATTGATTTTTTATATTTGATGGGCCAACGTTTGACCACTGCCTCGCCTGGTGGTACGCGATGACGAACCTGAACCTATTCACGCGGACCTTGAAGATCAGGTTATACCCTTCAGGAAATATACAATCTGGCGAAGCATTCTATTCCTTAGCAGTACGCACAAGGAAGCTTGATGCAAAGCGCTTCGTGCGTGTGGGTCTACCATGAATGAATCGATGACGCTTCGCCTATTGTCTTTTGGTACGCTGATGGAACGGACTACTGGGAATCAAGTTGTGCAATTCCGCCGCACACTTACCGAAATGTATCCGGTAAAAAACCGAATGGCTTGCAACCTTACGCCTGTGTTCGAGGCTTTGAAGCCGGGCCTCCACAACCGCATCATCATTGATGAGCTCTTGGCACACCTCTCGATATCCTCTAACGCTTCCAGCTGATATTTTTAAATTACGTAGGGTACGTTTGCCTTTTCGCGTCCACCGACAATTTGCGTACAGTACACTCTTTAAAAATTCCCGATGGACGCGAATCGGCGAACTTTAGTAGGGTGATGCGAACAGGCAAACTGACCCTATAATTGTGTTGTAGATTCAGCGGTCTTAATTTTTAGTAGGAAAATATAACATGAGTAATGATTAATTATTGTGTAGGTAATCCACAAAAGAGGATGCATGTTTACTTGTCCATTATTGGAGTTAGTGTTTAGAAAATTACTTACATGTTGTAACCGCAACTGAAAATCATCAATTTTATATAAGTATTCAAACATTTTGATTACTTATTTAATATAAATATAATACTTATAGATACTCCCCTATACATAGCATTACGCCTTTCATACCCCGAAGGCGTCGGCAGAATTACACAAACATACTAAACATATTACTTTTATAAATCTTGCGGTATATGATATAATGTAGTTAAAGAAGTATAACATTGAAATTAATACAAATGACTTTATAAAAGTGGAACAGGTTTATGTATGCTAACGGTGTGCGGTGTCCGTTGATATCAAATTGCTAATTTATGCAAAGATGAAGCAAATGTGCATAATTTGTAGCGAGAAAGGTTTAGACTGTTTTCATATGACCATTCTATTTCTGTACAACTGTTCAAATATTATCGTCAGTTGTTCTAGCTAATTCACGTATAAGTATTTAGATATACAGAATTCTACAATCCATACAAAGAAATAAACAAACAAACTGTAACTATCAATTCGTAAAATCTTAAAATATTACGTATTTCCTTCTAATAATATTTACTCGTTGCCTGTCTCGTTGGCCGAGTGGTCACAAGTGCGACTGCCGGGTAAGGGGTCTCGGGTTAGATTCCAGGGTCGAGCAAAGTATTACTGGGTTTTTATAACTTTTCTTAGTAGTAACACGGAGTCTGGAATTGTGCCAGGTATATGGCAATAGGCTCACCCCCTATTACATGGGACTCATAACATAAATTGTGAAAAGTGGTGCCGTGATATGCTCCTCTGCCTACCCTTTCAAGCATAAAAGCCGTGATATGATTTACTTAAAATAGTAACCAACATTTTAATAATAAAAATTTGTTTTTGTTACAGATAATCACGCTGCAAGGACAACAGGAGACTGAAACCGCATTACACCGACCTCCTTCCTAAGATAACCTACAGCTTGTCATGTCAATTGACAACTGACATTTCAACCGATCGCTTGTATTTGTGGTAATTTTTGTTCGTACAAAATCGGACAGTGAAACTATGCGGATAAGTTCCGAAAGTAGATAGTATTTTGTATTAAAAGTTTGTTTTTTATTGGTGTGATGGCGTTGTGGAAGTCTATTAGTTTGTGGACAGTGTGTGTGGTTTTATGCCTGCTGGGCAAGATCTCGGGACTGGACAATGGGCTCGCGTTGACGCCGCCGATGGGCTGGCTCGCGTGGGAGCGATTTAGATGCAACACCGACTGCAAGAATGATCCTGATAATTGTATCAGGTGAGATTTTTACACTTTACTTTAAATCATTTTGAACTCTAGCATAAGTGAATTAACCTGTTGAAAATTGTTGAAAATCATCCCTTAAATTTGTTCATACAAAAGTAGTCTCTAAACACTGGAAATAAGGTCTATAATGTAGTTAGTAGAGGCGGTCACCGGTGACCACTTGGGGATATATGGGTGGGCTTTATATTCAGTAGTAGTGGTTCTTGCATCTAGGTATTTATGTACTTTTTTCTTTTTTTTTAATGTGCTTTATCAAGGCCTGAAACAAGTTTCATGTCATTTCTTTTCTATTTTTTTAAAGGAAAGTCTTTATTTGAACTGCACTGATTAGACTTGTTTATATCAATTGAGGAAGTAACCTTGAACTTCTCCGGATATAATAACACATGATCAGTTCATAATAACAACATTATAATTTATTTTATAAATAAACTGATTGATGATAGGATAGATGATGTGTGCGTGTGTTGGATGATATAGGTATTATAAAATGATTCGTTGCCTGTGCATAATGTAATCATGTAAAAAAATAAATGTAAATAGCCTTTCAAATACCGAAGATTTTTTTTCTTATTTTGAATGGCAACCGAGTCTCCAATATTGATAATGAAATCTGCGAATCTATATAGATCTACAAATCTAGATTCTTTATAGATTCGCGAATACCAACAAGGTACATCCAGATGCCAATAATGACCGGGTACCTAAGATTTTGGTTGATGATTAGACTTATGACAATAGAAAGTTATCGCAATAGCGCATAAATGTTTTTTTAGTACTATTATAGGACACAGATGAGTGACAAAGCACGTGCATTGCAAAAGTTATTATTAGATAGTTTAACTATAGATTTTTAGGGGGAAAATCATCCAATAGGGTAGATGCCTAATTCTAATTTTAATGTCCGTCTGGTAGATTATTTTAAATCATTAGACACGTATTTTTTATTTTCTTACAGAAACGAATACTTTCGACGATAAATATTGATTTGAAAAATCGCGTGACGTCACTTCTATGTACATTTTATACGTAGAAATGACGTTTTAGCCCCCACTCGTAAACTTTAATTCGTTTTAGTTAAGTATTGTTTTATTATACGACAAAATAAAAAAATACGTGTGTAAATTTTTTCATTACCTAACTTACGGACTAATTAGATTTTTAATTTTCATACCCTGTCATCATCCCCATTACTTCTCCCGTCTTGGGTGAGGTCACGTGAGGTGGGAGGGGGAGTATCAGGAGGAGTAGTTTTACTGACTGAACTAATTAAATAAATATATTGATACTGTTCTACCATCGTAATAATAAATATTATGTCAACGAATAAGATATACAATATCCAACTATTGATATATTATTTCCTTTAGAAGCGGATACTTTGTTGTGTATAGGTACTTAAGTTGTGTTTTCCGTCATCAATTTGTGTTTAATTTCCTGTAGATTAAAGATATTTTAATCTTGAACTATGTTATCGACGAATTGTTTATATTGTTTAAATTATTTAGTTAGTTCTAAGATATACGATAATACAGCATCTTTTAATTTTCCGAATGGAGAATAAGAGTTGAACCTATTTAATGTAAGATTTACTTTTAAATCGAATCTCATGGTAAACGAAACTGAGGTACTATGGGCGACACTGATCGCTTACCATCAGGTGATCCATCTGTACTTTGGCCTCCTATTCCATAAAAATAAGAATGGTACATATTCCACCAGGCACAATCCTTTGCAGTTGTTTTCGGTTCTAGTTTTAGGAAAACCAAAATCTTAATAATACTTTATCTAAACCGAGAGTCAATGATCGGCAGTAAAACTCTTGACAATACGACCAATGAGGCAACAGAACAATGTCATTAAACTGTCAAACAACGCGAGGACACCGGTGACCGCAACCTATTGTTCTTTAATAGGGTAGACGACTAATTTTTATTTTAATGTCCGTCTGATAGATTATTTAAAAACATTAGACACGTATTTTTTATTTTCTCACAGAAACGAATAGTTTCGAAGATATATTGATTTGAAATGTCGCGTGACGTCACTTCTCCGTACATTTTATACTAAGAAATGACGTTTTAACCCCCACTCCTAAACTTTGATTCGTTTTATCTAAGTATTGTTTTATTATACGACAAAATAAAAAAATACGTGTCTAATATTTTTTCATTACCAACTTACGGACTAATTATATTTTTAATTTTCATACCCTGTCATCATCCCCATTGTGTCTATAATGACGGTACTCAATGAGTTAAATAAGTTAAACACTACTTTATTTATCGAGTGGCCGCAACCGCAACTATAACTGCCAAAGTCGAACTTTTATGTTAATCCTCAAGTTTGGGGAATTTCATATCAAAGTGTCTGGATCTCCGATAATCTGTGATGCGATTTTCGGAGTATTGAACGAGATACTGTGACAAATATGTAAATCAATATAATAATGATAATACATAACATAACATCACGCCTTTTATCCTCGAAGGGGTAGGCAGAGGTGCACATTATGCCACTGTACAATGTAACACCCACTTTTCACTATTTATGCTATGAGTCCCATGTAATAGGGGGTGAGCCTATTGTCATATACCGGGGGCACAATTCCAGACTCCGTGCTACCGCTGAGATTAAAAAAAAAACCCAATAATATTTGCCCGACCCGGGAGTCGAACGAATGATGATAATAATTCACAAATTATCCACAGTGATCGTCTGTTCCGGACGATGACGGACATACTGGTGTCGGAAGGGTATGCGGCCGCGGGTTACGAGTACATCAACGTGGACGACTGCTGGCCGGAACGGGAACGGGACGCTCGCGGCCGGCTCGTGCCTGACCGGGAACGGTTTCCGTACGGCATGAAGAGCTTGGCTGATTATGTAAGTTTTTTGTTTTAATGTCTAACTAATCTATCAATTACTAGCTTCTGCCCGCGACTTCGTACGCGCAATCCGATTTTCCCCCCGTTCCCGTTCGTGATTTTCGGTAAAAAGTAAAAAAAAGTATTGTATAAAAAATCCTATGTCCGTCTCCTGGTTCTAAGCTACCTCCCTGCTAATTTTCATCTAAATCGATTGAGGCGTTCTTGAGTTATAAATAGTGTAACTAACACGACTTTATTTTATATATATTATATAGACTTTATAAGTGATGGGTTAACGATTTAGTTAGATTTCATCAAACAAAATAATAATTCGGTAACATATCAGCAACCCTTCCACATAACTTAAAGGACTCAATTTGATGCTAGCTTACATAAAAGTTATTTCACTTGTAAATGAAAATAGTAAAATGCTCTTCCAATCGCAGTTTTTTGACATTTAACTTTTTTTATGGTATAAGACGGTAAACGAGCAGACGGATCACCTGATGGTAAGCAATCGGCGCTGCCCATGGATGCCTGAAACACCAGAGGTGTTATAAGTCCGTTACCGGCCTTTTGGGAATTGGAAATTTGAGGAACCTTTTCGAAAATCAAAAATATCAATAACATAACATCACGCCTTATATCCCCGAAGGGTTAGGCAGAGGTGCACACAGAAGTAACACCCACTTTTCACTATTTATGTTATGAGTCCCATGTATTAGGGGGTGAGCCTAGTGCCATATACCGGGCCCATTTCCAGACTCCGTGCTACAACTGAGATTTTTTTTTAAAACCCAGTGATACTTTACCCGGCCCGGGAATCGAACCCGAGACCTCTTGCCCGGTAGTCGCACTTGCGACTACTCGGCCAACGATTATTAATAACAATTCTCCAATTTGCACATTATTCAGTTATAAGTAACTGGAAAAGTTTTCTTTGCATAACATGCAGTCTGTTTAGTTTTCGTAACATGAATGAGATTGGTGTTGGCTAACATCGTACATACTTGAATAGATGCATAATATCTACGCGGCGTAATCAAGGCATGTAAATCGATGATAACCAATGTTATTCAATGTTTTGAATTAAATCAGTGATGATGAAACGTTGCTAGTGTGGAAGAAGGGTTTTGAGGCCTGCAAATGTTGGTTTTTTATCGCTAATGCCGTCTAAATTGTATTAAGACCCGTATGAGTTTCCAAACTCTGGACTGCCTCGTTGGCCGAGTGGTCGCAAGTGCGACTGCTGGGCAAGGGGTCTCGGGTTCGATTCCCGGGTCGGGCAAAGTATTACTGGATTTAAAAAAAACCTTAGTAGTAGCACGGAGTCTGGAAATGTGCCCGGTATATGGCAATAGGCTCACCCCTATTACATGGGACTCATAACATAAATAGTGAAAAGTGGGTGTTACTTCTGTGTGCACCTCTGCCTACCCCTTCGAGGATAAAAGGCGTGATGTTATGTTATGTGAGTTTCCAAATCGAATAAAAAACGAATTTTTTCCTTTCAACCCTAATACGCGTGGTAATTGTGAGGTCGCTTAACGGAAAATAGTTAAAAAGAGAGTGAACATAGGAGCAAATGTTTTTCAGTTCTATTAATTGCTTGTTGTTTCCCAGACCATCGTACAGTAAGTTGATATATCTCTATTTGCAAATCGAATCACAAATTAAGATCATACGTGCTTATCCTAATTGACTCCACTAAACAAGTGATTACAAATCGATATTTAACCGATAATCGATACAATTAAATCGAGAATTTTAAGCAGTTATTGAGCCTCAAGTTTTCCTAGAACGAAGATTGAACAGATTGTGTTTTTTGTATACTGTCTTGCGCACGCGCATCGTTGCAGTCCAAAGATTCGTTGAACCGTTAAGATTACTTAACGTACGGTTATTATGTTTGTGTGTGATTTATTGACGCGGTTCGAGTCAAAGCAGTCACGGATAGTGCTCAAGAAATAGTATTTTACAATAATTATAAATTCAATTAGATCACCTGTCTAAAGCTCTAGTGATTACTAAATCTATAATATAATATCACTAGTCTATTCTACGTAACAGATATCATATAGCTTTCGTGATACATACTAAATTAATTATTATGGTTTTCGGCTTACTCACGTAATTATTTGACGAGGAACTCGATTAGTTTCAAGCCATGCTAGAGGCTCATGTTTATGAGCATCACTGAGGCGCTGCTACTGATGAGCGCGACAGTCGCCGCACGCTTCTAGCATGCCTTGTAACTAGTCGAATTCCTCGTCAAATAATTACGTGAGTAGGCCGAAAAACATAATAATTAAAAGAAATTTTGATGGTATATTTATTTCCTTTTTAATTTTCTTTCTCTAGCAGATTATAATCAACTATCATGTCTCTGCCTATGGAATTAAACAATGTTATTATCCATGTTGTTCTTTCTTTATGACCAATAACACTTACAGATCGCTTAATGACCTTACCACCCTTATCTTTACACTACCTAGTCGACTGGACTGCTAGAGAATGTCTAAGGCAATTGTTTTGTACATATTAAGTTTTAAATAAATAAATCAGTAATAAAGTTTTCTATTGGTTACCGCATTCCGAATATTTTCGAAACATTCCGAAAACTCCCGACTCGACTAGCTTGAGCATTACCACATGCATGTGAAGATCTCATCAACAGTCCCTTCATTCATCAAATAGTAAATGAAACACGTTCAGAATTTCGTCAGGAAAACAAAAGCGTTGTTGGTTCACTCTTACATAAGAATTTAAAATAGTACTCTCTGTTTTTTATAGTTACTTGTAGTATTGACTGGCTCCTATTGTGTTGGCTACTCCGTGGCTGCGAAATTTTCATTGAACGCTCGTTTATTGTTGTAGCACTCTCACGTCTAGCGTAGAAACCAAAGATTCGCGATAGTAAATGCTTTTATTCAATATTCTGTTAAGCAATTGTTGATAGATGGTTTCGTTCAAGTTTAAATAAAATTTTCGTTTAACTTGATCTGCTAGTACCTACCGATCGCCAGTTCAGCCAAGGTTTGTGATTAGCAAGAGTAATATAACATATTTATTCGAAATGATAGCAAAATTAATTTTATTGCAATAATAAGTTTAAAAATGGGTATTGAAATTAACATTTTGGTAATTTGTTGTTTATAAGAATTGCAAGCACAAGGTTTTTATTACTAATGGCTTTTATACAGACACCTAAGTGGTTTTTTATGGGATAAGAGTAAAACAATAGATGGATCACTTCATGGTAAGCGATCAGTGCAGCCCATTTACATGGCGACACTAGAACTATAGATTTTTTTTAAATGATAACGCTCTTTTCTTGAAGATTTGAAGGCCATATCGGTTCGAAAATACCGCGAAACCCAAAACCTCAAATTAAGGATGTACTAATACTAACCGTCGATTCTTTGAACTAATCAATGTCAAGAGGGAAGATAGTCATACAGATTCATAATTTGTTGACGTTTGAAAATACATATCATTCAATTTAAACATGAAAATATATTGGTTAGTTTTTGCTCGACTGCCATAAAAAATATGTAATTTAGATTTCGTACGTTGTAATTCTTAAACAGGATTTGTCCAATTAAATAAAGTGATGTCATAACATTATCCTTAACACGTCTTCAATTATACTTGTCCATTGAAGTTGATACGTTTATAGTATACTAGCGGACCCAACAGACGTTGTCCTGCATATCCACTTGAAAAAAAAAATCATTCAAATTAGTTCAGCTGTTTAGGATTGAAAAGCTTAAGATAGAGAGTTAAGCATTTCTTCGGAATGTTATCGTAATTTAATGAAAAAATGTATACACAGTACATTATTATGAATACAGTTTTCACTGATGCATAGATAACGCGCCGCGTTTTCTATGCAGTCTATTCTTGCTTAGTTTACGTTAGTGTTCCCTGCCCTTTTCCTCAATGGGCAAAATAGTTTGTAATGTATTTATGTATTTACAAATATGTTGTATCTCACTTTAAACAATAGATCATGTCGTTATAAATGCTTCTTCGGTTGTTTGTAAGTTATTTAACCCCTGAGGCGTAACATACTATAAGAGAAGTCTACGGGGATTTGCTTGTCTTGACAATCCTTATGAATATGAGTTATTGTGATTATTTCACCTTGGGAATAAATGTGATTCATTATAAAGTATTTTTTTTTTGTGCGACTGCAGATCATTTGTTCTGAGTTCCGTTTCTTGGTGCTACTAGCGTTGATTGTTTCAAACATATTGAACAGTTGCAATTAGAAATCTAATTTGTAATTAAAACTGCCAAGCTAATCCGTCAAGCATCCTGTTTCATAATTATACCTTAAATACATAATTACATATGCAATTAATCACTGAATCACTGAGCTTTGAACTCTCAAAAACTACAACAAATCATAATCTTGTTACAAAACATACCATTGTCTTATTTTAATTATAGTTGTTAGTATACACACCTACAGTTACAAATTAATTAATGTTTGTATAAGAAACAATGATCGCCTCTCTGCCTACACTCAAATCCGTAATCTCTTATGACCTTCGTAACACCTATTTTGAAATCATACTCGTTAATTCTCAAGTAAACCGCCTTGCTTGTCAAAACTATTTCATATGGTATTGAGTTTTGCGATTCAAATTGCTAGTAGTATGTACCTATGTACTAAGAATTGTACCATTTAGATCCGCTCGTACAATTTGTGTTTTATGGAATAAGCCAGTAAACGAGCACACAGATCAGATGGTAAGCAATCGGCATCACCCGTGGACGCATGGAACACCAGAGGCGTTACCGGCGGTTTAGGGATTAGGAATTTGAGGATTGTTAGGGATTGGGGAGGGGCTTCCGCCCCTTATTGGGTTTACCCCCCGGTTATTGGGCCTCCGGTAACTACACTAAATAATCAAAACGTTGTTGTATTGTAAGATAACCCTAATTTAGATTTAGAGAGATATTTAAGATTTACAAGAAATTGTGTATTTTTCTTGTTAGAAAAATTAT